CCGTAATCTGCCAGTCTGGGACGCTATGCTTTCTAGCTTGCAGATTTGGTGCGTTTCGCCAGTGGCTCACGAGCGCTGGGAGGACGGTCTCCTTTCTCCCACCCCTCGAGCCTCCTCTCCGGAGCTCGGGTTTGGAGTGAGAGCAAATATCTCACCTCCAGCTTTTCCGTGGGACCCGCGAGCTTCCCGGATCAGCACACCCACTCCGCGCTGCCCCACTGCTGGTACGTCAGCAATTGTAGCGATGAGTCCATTAGCGGGAGCTCTGCCTGCCTGGTTAGCGCGGGCCAGCTCTTCGCGGTGGCTCATACGCACAATCAGACTCGGCTATGCGATTCAGTACGCGAAACGGCCCCCCAAGTCGCGGGTGTGTATTCACCAGGGTCAGCCCCCTGTCCGCCCTTGTCTTGCGAGAGGAGATTGCTGTCCTCCTGGCGAAGGATGCAATCGAGCCGCTCCCTCCAGCCGAGATGGAGAGCGGGTTTTACAGCCCACACTTCATCGTGCCCAAAAAGAGCGGTGGGTCACGGCCAATCCTAGATCTGCGCGTTTTGAACCGCTACCTGCACAAGCTGCCATTCAGAATGCTCACGCAGAAGCGCATCCTCCGGTGCGTTCGTCCTCTGGGTTGGTCTGCAGCATTAGACCTGATGGACGCGTATTTCCATGTCTCCACTCTTCCTCGCCACCGTCAGTTTCTGCGGTTTGCGTTTGAAGGTCGAGCTTGGCAATACAAAGCCCTCCCCTTCGGGCTCTCTCTGTCTCCGCGGGTCCTCACCAAGCCCGCGGAGGGTGCCTCAGCGCCCCTTCGGCTCGCGGGCATCTGCATACTCGATTTCTTTACGACTGGCTGATTTTTGCCCTCTCTCGGAGCAATTGATTATGCACAGAGACAAAGTGCTCTGGCACTTCCACCTGTGGGGGTTTCAGGTCAACCGAGAAAAGAGCAAACTCGCCCCCGTGCAGAGGATCTCTTCTCTCGGGCTGGAGCTGGACTCGGTCACCATGGCAGCGCGCCTCTCTGGAGAGCGCGCTCAGCTGATGCTGTACTGTCTGAGAGAGCTCGACAGTAAAATAGTGGTCCCACTGAAACTATTTCAGAGGCTCCTGGGGCATATGGCATCCGCAGCCGCTTCATGCCGCTCGGATTATTCTATATGAGACCACTTCAGCACTGGCTTCACGATCGAGTCCCCAGACGCGCATGGCACGCGCGCGCACACCGAGTCTCTGTTACTGCGCTGTGTCGCCGCGCCCTCAGCCCTTGGAGCGACCCCTCGTTCCTACAGACCTGGGTGTCTCTAGAACAGGCGTCCAGTCTTGTTGTCGTTTCAGCAGACGCTTCCAACACGGGCTGGGGGGCTGTGCGTTGCGGGCATGCGGCTGCGGACCTGTGGAAAGGTACCCAGTTGCATTGGCATATCGCCTGGAGCTGTTGGCAGTGTTCCTCGCTCTCCACCGTTTTTTTCCGGTGCTGGAGCGGCAACACGTGCTGGTCAGGACGGACAGTACGGCGGCGGTGGCGTATATCAGCCGTATAGGGGGTATGTGCTCTCGCCGCATGTCTCAGCTCGCCCGCCGTCTGCTCCTCTGGAGTCATCCGCGGCTGAAATCGCTGCACGCCATTCATATTCAGGCAAGCTCAACCGTGCAGCCGATGCGCTCTCACGGCAGCCTTGCGTCCTGGAGAATGGAGACTCCACCCCGAGTCTGTTCAGCTGATATGGGCGCGATTCGAAGAAGCCCAGATCGATCTGTTGCTTCCCCCGAGATCGCTCATTGCCAGTTGTTCTTTCCCTGACCGAGTGCTCTCGGCACGGATGCACTGGCTTACAGCTGGCCTCGGGGCACGCGCAAATACGCGTTTCCCCCAGTGAGCCTGCTTGCGCAGTTACTGTGCAAGGTCAGGGAGGACGAGGAACAGGTTGCGCCCCTCAGGCTCAACCGGACCTGAATGTCAGAGCTCTCCCTCGCGATAGCCCTCCCCTGGCAGTCCCTTCGAGAGAGCACCTACTCTCTCAGGGACAGGGCACCACCTGGCACCCTCGCCGTTCTTTGGAGATTTTTAGACGCGAGGAAGACTTAGGTAACCTCCGATTGCGGTGGCTAATACCGTCACTCGGGCTAGAGCCCCCTCCCCGAGCGCGCCTATGCCCTGACGTGGAGTCTATTCACTGAATGGTGTGTCTCTCGCTGTGAAGACCCCCGTAATTTGCCAGATCAGCGTTGTGCTTTCTTTACACCGAGAGAAGTTGGAGAGCAGGCTGTCGCCCTCCACACTCAAGGTTACGTGGCTGCCATCTCCGCTCTCATGACGCGGTGGCTGGCAGCACCGTGGGAACGCATAGCCTCATCATCCGGTTCCTCAGGGGCGTTAAGCGAATTAATCCACCCCGCCCCCTCTCATGCCCTCTTAGGATCTCGCCCTCGCTACACAAGCCGCGTCAGATCCTTTCGATTCTCGACTCAGTATCTTTCTGTCCCTGAAGACAGCTCTGCTGGTCGCGTTGATATCGATTAGAGGGTCGGGGACCCGGAGGCATTTTTCGGTCAGTGACTCGTGCCTGTAATTGGGCTGGCTTTCTCTCACGTCCTGAGACCCCGCCCGCGATATGTACCCAAGGTTCCTACCACTCCGTTTTAATACGAGGTAGTGAGCCTCGGAGTAGGCAGACCCAGCCCTTCTTTATTGTCCAGTTCGCGTTTTGCGTATTATCCGGACCGCACTCAGAGTTTAGATCATCTGAGCAGCTCTTCGTCTGTTATAGCGGTCGGCAGCAGGGAAGTGCCGTACCGAAATAAGTTCCCACTAGATTGTGGATGCCTTTCTTTCACTATCAGAGCCGAGATGAGCCGCGTCCCCCGAGAGCGCTTCGCATCCTCTCGAGGGCGCGCACGCGGCGCCCCTCTAACAGACATCTGTAGAGCTGCGGGCTGGGTGACACCCAACACATTTGCAAGGTTTTACAATCTGCGAGTGGAGACGGTTTCCTCAAGGGTATTAGGTAACATTTGGTGATTGAGGAAACAATTCGGTAGGGTGTTGAAACACGCTTGCTGCGCCATTTTCGCTAACACGGAGATACGTGCGCCTTTTTATCTGTCAGTAAAGTTCCCCATCAGGTGAGCCCTGCAGATTCCTCCGTGGCCCCCAGCACTGACTCAGCGGAGGAGTCACTTGCTGGCCCACTACGTTGTAGGTCTGCCCGCTGGTCAGCCCGCGTTTTGGGTAAAGGTGCCTGCTATGCGTGATCCCCACTAGGCGATCCCATATCCCAGGTCCTCCCTATCGGGATTGCACGCTTCCCAACGTACTGTCGTATTTTCCTAGAATTATCTAGATGCTCACGACTTCCCAAAAATATATCTAAATCCGTAAAACTTCTGTTGAAGTAGGATAAATTAGGGCCCGGGACACGTTGGAGGACCACGCCTCCCATGATGTGGGTGCGTCACGCTTGCTTGACAATTCCCTCATCGGGGGCGTTGGTAAGGTGCAGTCATTATGGCGCTTTCCATACTTCTCCCATTTCGTGGATTCAATCAATCCACTCTATGGCACTGAAGTTCCCCAACCGAAGGGGAACGTTCGAGGTTACAGAAGTAACCCTTCGTTCCCCGAGGAGGGGAACGGAAGTGCCATACTCCGTCGCCATAATGACTGTCCCTTAGCTGTTTGAAAGTCTCTTCAGCTTAAAAGGATGGCGTCTGCTCGCTCCAGGTGTGCTTATATGCTGGGATAATTGGCAATGAAGTACACCTGTGCAAGCTTACGCTGCCAATTCATTGCATTCATTGGCCCGTTCAATACTCTTTCAGACAAGCGGCTTCTGAAACGAATCCTCCCATTTCGTGGATTCAATCAATCCACTCTATGGCACTTCCGTTCCCCTCCTCGGGGAACGAAGGGTTACTTCTGTAACCTCGAACGTTATTTATAATGCTTCCATAGAGTAGATTACAGAACTAATGAAGTGCCAGCCGTGTTGATTATAAGCACGTGATCTTCTTAAAATTAGTTTATAAATAAATAATACTTAATTATAAATAAAAATTTTAGATCTTTTCCAGGACTTTTTAAAAATGTAATGAAAAAATTAAAAAGTGATTGTCCCCTTACTGATTTCTTTTTTCCCCATGCTTGTCACACTTTAATGTTTCAGATCATCAAACAAGTTTAAATATTAGTTAAAGACAGCACAGGTAAATGCATCAAACAAATTTTAAAAGTACATAGCCCTGAGTGAAAAACTGTTTGTGCAACCAAGCATTTTTGATAGCGTGCAATGAGTCTGTTACAGCACTGCGGGGGATGTTTGGCTCGCTTATCTCTGCAGAATTGTAATTCAGCCGCTTTGGAGGGTTTTCAAACTTGAACAGCCTCTCATGGTCATGCCATAGCAACTTAATTGGATTCAGGTCAGGATTTTGAAGAAGCTGAACCAGTGTCTTCATTTTGTTTTGCTTCAGCCATTTAGTAATAATTCAGCCGTGCAGAAATTCTTCAGCTGCTCAGTGTCATGTTTACCAGTGAACAACCACCAGATGTCGCTGGTAAACACACACACACTTAGAACTACACTTTTCCTGTACTACATGTTCATACATGCTCTTCACCCACACACCTGCTTTCTCATTTAGCTTGATTTACATTCACACCTGAGGACTTTCAGAGACTGATTAACACACACTATTTAAGCCACACATTCACTCCTTCAGTTTGCAGAGTCTTGTTCACTGTAAAGTAGCATTACAACGCGGTTTCCTTGTCTTGTTTTCCTGTGTTTTGAACCTAGCCTTGTTTATTTAGTTATCCTTGTCTGCCGCCTGCCTTTCGACCTTTTGATTGTTAAACTGACTACGATTCTGGATTGTCCTCACATACCTGTTTGCTCCCGTATTGACCACTGCTTGCCTGACTGTGAATAAACCTGCATATTGGATCCTACCTTCTGTTGTGGTGTTACTCCCCGGCGTTACACTCAGAAACATATGTGATAACATAAAGAGTTTTTTTTTTTTGCCAGTAAAGTGGTAGATTGCCATTTAAAAGTAGCTTTATGCAGTGCATTTGTTTTCTGTCTTTTAGTTAAATTCTAGTGCTGGGGTGCACAAACGTGGTGCTGGAGGGCCAATCTACTGCAGAGTTTAGGTCAAATTTGCCTAGATACACATACCTGGATGCTTGTAATACTAGAAAGAGTTTGATTAGCTTGTTTAGGTGTATCCAATTGGGGTTGGAGCTAAACTCTGCAGCACACTGGCCCTCCAGGAAACACACTTCCTTACTCCTCTGTTTAATTACATACAGTAGCAGAATACAAACAGAATTAAAAAAGACACAGTCGTCTCTGCTCTTGTTTCTGATCCATGGTTTTTTCTCTCTTCATTCTCTGCATCACAAAAAAGAAATATTTAATGCTTAGTTTATATAAAATGCCTATTTAAAAATATAAATTATTTTTCACATACTTTTGACCAAAAGCTGTGTGCTTGGATTTTCATTTGTCATGGTGATGTAGCAGACGTATGTTCCTGCATCATTATATTGAAGACCTTTAAGTCTGAGTGAGAAGTTTCCTTTCAGATACTCATTAGGGAAGGTTTGGGTTCTGTTTTTGTAATCCAGGCCTTGCTCCTCTACTGAAGGTTTCCCCTTGATGATGCCATAAACTTTCCTGCTGCTGTTATGTCTCCAGTAAACTGTAATATCTTCTTGTTGGAAATCATTTTTATTAGAACAACAAGGCAAGACTGCAGAATCCCCAAGATTACCCTCAACCGTGGCCTGCAGAGACACTGAATATGAGAGATATATATTTTAATAAACAGTAGCTCCAACCCATTTTAAATAAAAATTACATAAGTGCTCATTTATTCAAGAGCCCCTATTATGGGTTTTTGAAAATGACCTCCTATGCAGTCGAAAAGGTCAACAATAAACATTTCCAAATATGAGGTGCCGGATCCACCGTTGAACTTGCCCTTGCCTTCAAACACAGGGCATGGGATTGCATCACGACTGAAGAGCGATCACTGTGAGATGGCCAGAGATTCGGGGTTGTGGAGTATAATTAAAGTTCATTTTCACAACAATATCACTGTATAGCCAAGCCAAAGTTGTGCTGTGTTCGTGCCTGTCACTGTTCTGATGATTGATATAACCTACCCTTCAGCACAGGATTTGCCAGCCATCTGTTATTAAAGGAAAGATAAGCAAGGACTATTAAAATAGTGTATGGGATTTTGTCAGACCTTTTCAGTAAACAGTTCATAAATGGACCAGTTTCTTCTCCCTTCAGAGCATAACCTGTAAGTATGAAAACGGTTGCCTCCTTGCTTTCTGTAGCTTCCAAAATTTGTTTTATTACGATAAATATGTGCTTCTTTTGATATGATGTAATTTTAGAGAAAAATGATGTCCATGTATGTAGACTCGTGGTCCGAACTTACATAAAACACCTGTTCCCGAATTTATTTAAACATGTTTAGACTATCAGAGAGTAAAAACAACATTTTTTCCCCATTTTGGATAGTTAAAAATAGGGTTTGAGACATTTCATATGCTGCAAAACATATGATAAAACATATAACATTTTAGGATGACACTGTATTTCTGTAACAAAATTCAAACATACTTGAAACATCTAAAGTAATTTAAATAGCCACTTAAGAGCTAAAAATGTGCTGTACACATATGTGGACACTCAGGCCCTAGGAGGTTACAAGACACTAAAAAGTGTTTTTGGCCTTGCATGCAAATCTACCTGCTGTTGGAAAACCAAAACATGACCCTTTTATAATGCATAATAGGAGCTCTTTATTGGCCATATTGCGACTTCCTGATGCCTCACAGGGCTCGAAATTAACTTTCTTACTTGGTAGCACCGGTGCTCCCAACATGAAATATTTAGGAGAACCAGAAAAAATTTAGGAGCACCCACCAAAAATTTATAATATTGACAAGTTGTATATTAAAGGATTTATTGTATTTGAAAACAACATCAATTGGGACTAACAAAATACAGAAACAACCATCTAACTAATGCTGTGATGATTTAATATTTGTGCAATAATTCTAAAATGAATGTTGAATAATTATAAAATATTAATGATGACGATGATGACAATAATACTAATTATGAAATATATTTTTCATTATCATGCTGCCTTGAATGTGCTTTAATGTAAGTTATCTGCTATATAAAGTCCTACTGTTACTTTATGAAAAATAAATTTATAGTTTGCATCAAACACAAATGAAGCATTGTAGTAAGAAATATTTGTTTTGTACTATTATGTTTATATGCATGTCAATTTAATAAATAGTAGCCTATTTCTGCTACAAAACAAACGATGTAATATAATAAATCCATTAAATTCAATGCTGAAAGCTGCAAAGCAGTCATCAGTAATTAAATAGAAAAATAATATACACCTCAAGAAAGAACGGACAAAAGAAAGTAAGAAAAGTCTCACTTTTAAAAGTTTTGGTTTCGGTTCGTGTCGTTTTAATGCTCAGCTTCGTTACGCGCTGAATTACAATTTTCTGTGTTTGTGGAAAAGCATGCTAGTCAGCCGACCCAATATATGAGGGGGGCAGAGCAGGATTCTCCCAATGACCACCGGCGCTATACTGTTCTTTGTTATAACCCGCATCAGTTTAAACGCAGTAAAGGCAAGCTTCATTGGCGATGGTGTTTTAGCGGACATTTGCGCTGTTGCAGCCTGATCTCACGAGGAAACGTATGAAAAAGTTACGAATTGCCGTGAGATTGTGTTGGCAGCACACGCAGTGCATGCAACGCATCGAGATTCAGTGTACTTTTCACTCTTCAGCAGTTTGCATTCCCCGCGGTCACAGAAGCTCCCTCCCTATCATCTGACAGCGGAAAGTCTTGAGTGATTGACAGCTAATATGAACCAATATAGCGGCAGGGAAGAGCGATTTTACCATGTTAAAAAATAAAAAATAAAAAAAAAAAACAGGTCGCACTCCAACCTAAATATTCAGTCGCACGAATGCTCCCAATATATATTATGAGGTCGCAAAGCTCAAATTTCAGGCGCATATGCGACCAAAATGGTCGCTATTTCGAGCCCTGCCTCATATAAGTTGCTCGAGAGGCAGTGAGGGTCCTTTGAATTTGTGATGCGCTGGTGGCTTTAGACAGACACACTGAGCCCAAGATGTTATAAGGAAAACTTTATGTAAACTTGAAGCATGACAAACAATACAGCAATTTGTGTCGTTGAATATCTGTTTTGTATGGTGCCGATTATTGCGTTGGTGTGATGGTTGTTGCGTGTGCCGTTGCGATGCCGGTTTGCGTTGCTTGTTTTGTGTAGCTGTTTTGCGTGGCTGTTTGCGGTCAACAAAAAATACGGTAACCCCCCTCTCCTTCTAACACCTGTGTGATTGTGCACGCGCTTTATATGTTCTAGCAGGTGCCAGTTATGCCCACGTGACCAAAACATAAAACGTCACTGTGAAACCCAAACTAATCAGTATACAAATAAATATTATAATTAAATGAAAAGTAATATGGCTCCTATAGGCCACTTTGGTCCTGGTGGGCCAGTGTCCTGCAGAGTTTAGCTTCAACTCTATTCAAACACTTTCCTATAGCTTTCCAGTGATCTTGAAGACTCTTTGATTTGTGTTGGAGCAAAACTCTCCAGGACTACATGTATGTTGACACACTCAATGAAAATTAAAAATAAAATTGGTTCATGTATACTCACCTTTGCTTAACAACGCTGCAAACACAAAGAAACGGCAGTACCTGTAACACATTATTTTTTAAATATGTTTTACCTTTATCACATTTTTATCTATTTACTGCTATATATTAACAACAATGCAGCAATGATGCAGCATGAAGCAAGATGCAATTTAAGGAGTCATGAACTGTCTTTTTATTCTTCATAGATTAACCATTTGACACATATTTTCACACTGGTGTGATCTCAATGTTCAATGCATGATGTGATCAACTGCTGATTTAAAATCTTTCCTCCAAGTAAGCCAGAGAAAGAGATGTGTGGCGCTTGTCATAAATGTATTAATTTATTTTTATTTTATGTCTCAAGCATTTACTTGCACAAAAGTACCAGAAAATCCAGCCTGATCTCACGAGAAAACGTAAGTATTTTACGTTTTGCCAGTTTAGTGGCTAATTCATACGAATTCGTACGAGTTCAGTCGTACGAAATGGTACGATTTTAAAAAGGAGGCGTGGCACCTGACCCCACCTCTAACCCCAACCGTCATTGGGGGATAAGCAAATCGTATTAAATTGTACGAATTAGATCGTACGAATTCATACGAATTAGCCACTAAATGAAAAAGTTACGAATTGCCGTAAGATTGTGTTGGAAAATCATAGCCTTTAAGGTTTGCAAAATACAAGGTCAGGTGGTGGACAGAGTGCAGTGTCAAGCCGGACCTCAGGCCCGTTTACACTAATATGTTTTAGCTTTAAAATGGCATTTGAAATGAAAACGATCCGCGTCCACACTACTGTTTCACCCAGCGTTTCTAAACAACTCTCCGTCCACATTATATCGCTGGAAACGCACATTACGTGACCACACACTCACACTGGCATGCACTGGAGCATGCTTTGAGTACATCTACCCATATGATATGAGAGTTGTGCACATCAAGAATCTACTGCTGGATCACTATATTTGTTAAACGTGATGTTTGATTCATCTTGTTGTCTATATCTAATGACATATTCGCAGACTTTGGTGTTTTGAGTCTATTGCTTGTTCTCAGGCAACGTGTTTTGGCAAAGATAAGTTAATATATTAATTAATTTTACGGTCACACTTTACAATAAGGTTCATTAGTTAATGTTAATTAATGCATTTACTAACATGAACAAATAATAACCAATGCATATACTACCGTATTTGTTCATGTTAGTTAACGTTAGTTAAGGAAAATACAGTAGTTCATTGTTAGTTCATGATAACTCATGGTGCATTAATTAATGTTAACAAGTATGGACTTGAATGTTAATAATGCATTAGTAAATGTTCAATTATGATTGATAAATGTTGTACATGTGTTGTTCATGATTAGTTCATGTTAGTAAATGCATTAACTACTGAAGCTTATTGTAAAGTGTTACCAATGTAACCACGTACACTGATTCTGTACATTTGACCGATTGGTTGCCTTTATTTCCTTTATTTAGTTATGCTTTTATAATGGCCATTATTGATTATTAAATCTGATATTCAGCAGAAGAGAGGGTATGTTTCATATTAGCCCCTTTCAAACATACACACTTTTCCGGAAAATTACTGGCAATTTTCCGGAAAGTTGTGTATGTGTGAACAGGCCCTTTTTGAAAATGCCGGTAAATTCGTTCTGGCTATTTTCCGGAAAGAGAAGTTGTAATATTACCTGTAATTTGCCGGAATCCTGCGCTGTGTGAACGCAAAAGGAAGATTGCCGGAAAGAGCGCGTGCACGTCCAGAACGTGCTGACGTGAGACTTCTGCTTTAGCCAATCAGAACAGTCAGACGCATTCACGTCTGTGCGGTTTATGAGAATAAAAGGCTTTGAATATTTTTCCAGACACATTTAGCTGCTAGAAATTAGTCAGATAACGTTTATATGTTCATCTTAATGCCAACCTTGTAATTAATTATCGATAAGATGCTTATGCTAAGCCGTTGTTTGTTTACCTTCAAGCTTTTCGTGTGCCCATGAAACAGCCCATGAGCACACACACATATCATGTACATCTCGACATCCGAAAGTGTTTCTCTATATGTTTTCATCGAAGTTGTTCTCAATACTGATCCATCCACGGAGTTTGTGATGTAGTCAAATGTTTACAAATACAAGCGTAGCCGTTTGGAGGTCATTTCTGGTTAATGATGTCAGAATTTAACTGTATTTTGCGATGGATGTGTGGACGCTCTTTTCCGGAAAAAAATCCGTAACGTCCTCGCCTGTGTGAACAGCACTTTTTTTGAATTTACCGGTAAAGTCGTTCCAGAAATTTTCCATATATTTACCGGTATCACTGTGTGAAATGGGCTATTGTCAATGAAAATGAAAGGAGGCAGTTATGTTATCTGCTGTGTTTTGTTATAAATATGCATACAGTGAAGATGACGATCATATAAATATGCAGCTGTATATAAATAAGCCTATAAGATGCCTCAATATTTTAATGTCTGGTAAGGTAATATCAAAATATGGAAATGAAAATAGGGAGTTCCTTATATTATGTTTTCATTTTATTTATAAGACTAGTGAAACAGCATAGCCAGGGTGATGTGAATGAGGTTATAAAGTACACTGTTCCCTTTGAAGATTTACCTGACGTGTTCTCGGGAGTTTGTTTTCTATATCAAACTTGCGAAGTCTGAACTTACAAGGAGAGGATGCAAGACTGAACTGTGTGTAGGCTACTTAATATTGAGAAAAAAGGGCCAAACGGCCAAAAAAGGCTGGCCGTTGGAAACCCTGCTTTAGCCCAATCAGGCCCCGGGAAGTGACTGTGGAAACACGACTGGCCCTGGCTCTCTTGCTTTTGCCGTGACAGTGGAAACGTGGCTAATGTTATGATTACCTTGTATAGGTAACAAAAGTATATACATGTACAATCATTACATCCCCCAGTTAAACAGCCACTTACTTTTATGCAACTCAGGAGACATTGATAAATTAGCATGTTGTAAATCCAGCTGTTCTGATATCACCACTAACATGGCACCACCTATCACCTGTAATATATCAAATAATACAATCATTATTAAGCTGTCTATATGATGAAGTACATGTTCGTACACACATATTTGAGAATCAGAATATCAGATATTTCCTAATAAAATTAGGATGTTGTCAATAAATGTAGACAAGAGAAAAAAAGAATCAAAAGGGGATATCTTTGTAAATCGTCAGGGCTGCTAGTGATTCATGACTCATGTAGGTTAGTCACCTGAGGCCTCGTGTATTAACGCTGCGTATGCACAAAAACTTTGCATATGCCACGTTTCACGCTTACGTTGGGATTTACTAACAATGAAATTAATGTGAGAATGTGCGTTGGTCCGCGCCAATTTCATGTCTGGCGTCCGTGCATTTCTTGTTTGTTTTATTTCCATTGGCGACTCCTAGAGGTAATTATGTAAAATAGCACATGTAAAAAAACATTGCTATTAATTTAAAATTGATAAAATGGGTTAATTGACACATTTTTTTTTTTTTACCAACTATGTGATTTAGAACATATAAAAGCATTTGCAAATGTATACAACCCTTAGTCTATGGCAATGGCAGTGTTGGCCTTATTAGAGGACATTGACAATGGTTGAATCCGAAAGGAAACACATCTTTAGGGATCACAGTAATTTTCTGGCCCACGATGATGACTGGATTATTAGGCGTTTCAGATTTCCAAGAGCTATCCTTTTGGAGCTCTGTGCCGAGTTGGGTCAAAATTTGGAAAGTGAGGCAGTGAGGAGGCTCCAATGTGGCAGGGTACACGATGGGATGGCTTCTTGGTAAGTAATGTATTTAAAGATATTATTCCAGGATTTATTTTTATTTTTTTATTGAACGTAATTATTTAACTGCATATCAGGAGACTGGTTATCCATTAAAGTTGTGGCTGTTGACCCCCCTTAACAACCCACAAGCTGACCAAGAGTGCAGATACAATGATGCCCTTTTTTGCA